TAAGTACAGTAAAGCATTCTCAGATACCTCCATGAGTTAAATGACTTACTTGAACTCTCAATCATATGTGCTGTATTTCTCACATTTTCTAAGCAACTGCATGCTGTGAAGGGTTACATATAATAAAATGTTTCATACCCATTATATCAGAAGTGTTCAGTGTTGTCTTCTTTAGATATGAACTTATTAAAAGGCCCAAAATGCCAAAATATTATATCACACCATCCCATAGGAAACTACTCTGATACATAATCTAATCTGATGTTTTTCTCCCACTCTCAGCAGTCCCACAGGCAAAAATACTGAATGGGAAAATGTGGAGCAAGAGTATGGGGACATGCTGGCAAAGCTTCATCAGACCATCCACCTCCTCCATCTCCAACCAAGCCAAAATGAACAGAAAGAGGCTGACCGTATTGCCTGAGGGATTACTTTGGGTGATGTTTTTAGTTCAAATAAAGAGTTAAGAGATGCAATTGAACAACAAACACAACAAGAACTACAGTAGACACCATATAACAATGTCATCCATTCATTTCAATCCAAAACTGAGCTTTTGAACATCTCAAAATACAAAAAGGAGCTCTTCTCCCATAAAGCAATCCAAGTGTCTATTCTACCCCCCCGCTTTTGTTCATCTATTCATCTGTTTCATCACAAGTGCCTTAATATTGGAACAATCCTGATTGCTTCTCTAGGCATTATCTCCTGAAAGGCTTCTTTCCTTTTCGTCCTGCTCGCTAATTCCTGAAACCCTCCTCCTGTGTTTTCCCCACTTCGTAGCATCGGGCCTGTTTATTCCCCAAGCTCTTAATCTGTTTTAAGTGGTGAATACTTTGGAACAGCGAAGAAAAGGGCCTTAACATGAAGACAGCCCAGGCATCCTGTGCCATACTGCTATCCATGGTGGTCTTCTAAAGCTCCCTCTCCCTCTGTTTCTCCATGTGATTGCGCCCGGTATGGTTGGAGGCTCATCGCAGCCTACATGTGATTTCACATGGGCTATAGAGACACTTAGCGCCTGTGGCTCTGTCCCTCCTACACACAGTCTGCTAGGAAGAGCTGCACCACTCACAATCCGATGTGTAGGTTTGCTTAGAAGCGCCTGTAGTGATGACAGTGTGTCTGTGTATGGAGTGTGTATGTTTGCGAGAAAAAAATGTGCGCTGACTTGTAGGGTGCGTGCGTGTGAGTTCGAGTGCCAAGACCACACATCCCGTTCAGTTTCGGTGGGATCACACACACAGAAATACACAGGATGTCAGCCAGTTGTTCAGTAACAGTAAGTGACAGGCTGAGACGAGAGACAATGATGATCCCTCACTGTCCTAAAATGGATCGGCGCTGCTCCCCTCCACCCCGGTCCAACCCCTCCATCCCACGCTTGTCCCTGCTCCCTGGCCCTGAGCAGATAACCACAGCGGGACCACAAGCAGGACGGGGAACGAATCCCTGAGGTGCGTCCCATCACGGTGCAGCTTTGGCAGAAGGAGTGTGGGCGCAGTGGGGCCGATACCCCACTGGTTTGTGGGTAGCAGCGTCACACTCAGTTCTAGCCCTCAAGGGGCGAGGCATAAGGGGACACTGTCTTTTCTTGTCCGGTTGAACGGCATTGGTCACAGTGGATTTTCAGAGCAGACTGAGGAATGGTGCACAGTCCCACACAGTGTTAAAGAGTGCGGGACGCAGCCATTTGTAGTCCTGTTTGGACAGGCGTCAGTGTGCGGTGGGCTGGTGATATGGACATTGGAACAAAGGGGATTGAGACAAGTGTCAACAACAACTACAGCCCAGCCTGTGTTTGATTTGATGTAGTTTGCTTCAGGCCAGAGCAAGTGCTTTTATTTATACATCAAGGAACAAAGTCCAAGCAAGATGTCAGATGTAAAGTTCCTGAGCAGAAATGAAAACCTTGAGACATACGGAGGCGCTTTCACCTGATATGGCCGGCAGCAGAAACTGGGCCTTGCGTATTAAAACCCAACCACTCCCTTTTATCCCTCAGATTTAAAAGAACGCAAATTTCCCGAGCTCCTGGGTAATTTTGTCAAGGAAGAGACGCCAACTCTAAAGATAAAACAATTGCATGCACAAAAACACAGTATTTGACAAAGGTCTGCCTCTATCAGAAGTGTCAAGATGTTTCCAAGAAACTAGATTGCTGCCTGAAATAGAATTTGACACTCAGCTGAGCCTCTATACAAAACAGAGACTCAAGAAAGTACAGACCACTCTCACCGACTTGTGGTGCTGGCTTGGTGTCATTCTGTCCAGTCCAGGAACCCATTAGCTAATGTCTGACTGATTATTGTAGTCAAACTGACACCAGAGAACATATAGTACCAAAAAGTCCTTGGCCAGAAGATTCTGCATATTAATAGCAGATATCTATTTATGAAGATTAGATAAAAATCTTAGATGTATATTTATTCTTAACTCCAACAGAAAAATACCAAGACTTCAGAACACTTTATCAAAACACTGAAATGGAAATATAAATAACAATATAATACTAAAGAGCCTCAGTATAACAAAAAGCCCCTTTTCTATCTGTTGAAAACAATAAAACACAAATATTAAATTTCTTGTACTTAAACTGTTTTTAAATTTAAACCAAAGCCAAAAAAAAGGCTTTTTAGGTACTAAGTGTCCTTCTGGTTACATAAATAATATATGTAGTGTGACTGAATACAAGGTAGTAAACATATGTGTGCATTTGTTGTGTGCCTGGGTGTTGTTGCAAATAAGCGAGCACGGCCCATAAATCGTGGTGCTATCAGTGGTCCGGTCTCAGCCACCCCTGTGTTATTTTATTGAATGTTATTGTAGCTGGACGGCCCCGTGGTAGATATTTCCTGGTTAGAAATCAAGATCAAAGCCGAGAGGTTGGGGATCAGCAGGAGAGGAGAGCAGAGGAGGAGGATGGGAAGGAAACAATGACTGATGGACATTGGAGTAGAGGAGAAGAAGAGGGGATAAGAGCTGGAGTGGGTGGCCACTGGCACTGCTTTAAAGCCCTGGCAAAGAGTGAGTGGCGATATTCGACTTAATGTGAAAGCCGGGGGTGTGAGGAGAGATGTGATGTGGATTTAGGATCATCCTACGATGAAGGATAGAGACAATCTCACTATCGTTTGCTGCAATTGGTCAGCTGAGGGTGGTTTTTCCCCCAATTTCAACAGTGTAGGAGTAGGAAAACACAGTAGACATCAAAGCATGACTTACAAGAGTAACATTCACCAGAGGGAAATTTCCAAAGATACAAACTTATTGTGTTAATGATGTAATTGTGTCAGAGGGTCTGTGAATTCAGTATTTGTTTTGTCAAATGTTAAGATTTTTACTCTTTGTAAAATGTACGACATTTGAAGTATGCAATTAAAATGAAGCCATAATCATAGAAATTACAATACAATTAGAATCAAACTAAAATGCTAATATTGTATTATTGGATTTTATTATAATACATTCCTGCAGGTTAGTATTGCTAACATATCCTAGCAAAAGCCGTTTGTCACACAGGTATAATGTCAAAGACTATACTGTCACTTGTTTCACAAAATTCACAAGCAGAAAGCCTTGTTTGGTTTACATGTAGACATGATCTGGTATGGTTCCCACAGATATTAAAGAGGGAATACCAATTTATCTGAATATGAGAGTCATTAAAGTGTTAATTTCAGTATGCTATACTGCAATGGAATTGCAGAATATCAGAAAGTGGAAATAACTTTTTTTGTTGTTGTTTTTTTTTAAATAAAACACCCATTAGCTAATCCTAATCAGTCATATATCATTGACGTTAGCTACTCTACTACTCATATGTACAGGGTACAGAGATTGTCAAAAAGGAAAAAAAAATCTAGACACTAATTGACAGTAATTTCTATCTGATTAGATTCTCACTGCACTGATACAGCACTGCTTACTACGCCTCCTCCTCCACGCCTCCTCCACAACTTCAGCACCATTGCAGCAGACAGTTTTCTGGTCCATGTCAGACTTTTTCATAATGAAACCATGTCCATGCTACAGGGTTAGCCCCTCGTTTAGGAATAAGATCCTCTTTTTTTTACATAAAAAAAAAAAAGGAATAAGATCCTTGATTTATTTTGACTGGTCCCTCTGTTTGGAGCTACCTGGTTCTGACTCATCTTCACTGGACATGCTGGTATTCTCTGTGCCTACATCCGCATGGTGACTGTTAGTGCCATTTATAGTTACTTCATGTTTGTATTTGAAGTAATTTGTTTGATGTATATTCTGAAATTTGATGTGTGAGAATAATGTATATTATTTCAATTTATTTTGAAAAGTCTTAACAGTATCTTGAGCTTTATTGTGAAAGGTTTATGTGGAAAATAAACAAGCGGACAGTGGAAAAACACAATGGATTTACCATCGTTGTTGCTAACGAAAGTACGCATGAAAAGAGTTGCTTGTCTGCCAATAATGTGGTTATTTTAAATATACCTGTAAGTGAAAGAGAGAAACTTTAAGGAATTAATATCGCCACTACAGTGACCATCAAAACGATGAAAAATATAGCTTATATAAATAAGATACAGTTTATTTTGCGACACCATGAAACAATCGATAGTGTAATATGAAATGATAGTTGTTTTTATATCATCATCCGATATATAACAACCCTAACTTTTAGTGTTGGAGCTCGGTACTACTGTACTCCTCCAGTGTTAGTTTACCAGGATTACATGATTATTTGGCCATGTTTGAAGCTGAGAAAAGTTTACCAGCAACTTGGAAACCCTTACAACTCAATCAGCAATGAAGAAGCACAGAAATTAAATAGAGTTGCAACTGAATGAAAGACAAAAATATTCAGGAATTAGAAAAAACCATCAAATCCCTAGAAGAAGCCTATGTGTCCCACTAAGATCAGGAAACATTGAACAAAATACGCAAAACAAAACCAGAATTAAATGAGATAATTGATTAAAAAAACAGAATTCTTAGTACAAAGACTACGCACATTCTTTAATCAAACACACAAAGAACAGACAACCAAGCTTGATGAAGTCCCTGCATGACCGCGGGACAGACGGTCAGCAGAGTCTCCCTGAGCCTAGCATGGCTCTCAGTTAAATACCTTCTCCAGGAACAAAAGGCAGTACACAGCTGTTTCACACCTTAACACTAGAATTACTGAGCCTTTTTTTCCCCCTGGTGCGAGTCCCTACTACTAGATTTACTAGCCCTGCGCAAATTTGCGTAAATTCCACTGGCACTGCGTTGTCTTTACAGTCCCTGGCACAGCAGCTGCAGCAGCTTCAGCAGCCTGCGTCTGTGCTAATATTTCCTTGTGCTACATGAATCGGCAACGAAGTTCCTGAGCTAGAAGACTCAGAAACAATCTTCTTTTGCCTGTCCACCCTGTACATGCCTTGTACAAAATGTAGGCATTCACCGCCAACAGGTCCAGCATATTGTAGAAAACCGCTACTGACCACCTGCATGTTGCTGCTCTTATGGAATACATCCGCACAAGTTGAGTAAGTTCACGCCAGACTTTATTCACCGTGCCCCATAACGGCGTTTTGCGCTGCAGCAGTCTGTGCGACAGTGACAGTGAAGTAAAGAAATTGTCTGTTGTGACGTTTCTCCCATCATCCAAAAACGGCTCCATCAGTTTCATGACCACGTTCTCTGCCAGCCTCTCTCCCTTCTGACGACTGGGGTCTTTTCCCAAGTAAGGAGATGCACTGCAGACATATTTGGTGTCCAAGTCCGTGGCCATCCAGAACTTGATCCCAAATTTGTCTGGCTTGGTTGCGATATACTGTGTGAATGGACAACGAACCTTGGTAGGGAACAGCTGTTCATCTATGGTCATGTGTTCTCCTGGAGTGAAACTCTTAGCACAGTTCTTGTTGAAGCGTGTCCAGATGTCGGAGATCACCGCAAATTTATCTGTTTTCACCCGTTCTGCCCGCGTGTCCTTGTCATCAAATCGAAGGTGTTGCATAATTGAAATGAATCTATCTCGGGGCATTGTCTCTTTGATTACTGGCACCAGAAATCTTTCTGACCAGCAATCCACAATGGCACCAACAGGACACATGATTGCTCTTACAAACAGGATTGAAATGAATGCCATCAGTTCATGAACTGACAAATTCCAGTCCGGCTCTGTTCTGTGGGCTTGATGGACCGTACACTCCCTGATGGTCTGCAGCATTCCCACGTCTAACAGGCAAAGGAAGCTTTGGAGCACACTTGTAATCTTACGCTGTCAGAAGATAAACAAATAGAGAATGGTAAATTTACATGGACCTCACTCTAAATGGGTTTATATAAATATCATATGTAATATGGCAGTGACAAACCTTAGCAGACTCTGTGGGTCCAGCTTGTGCAGTGAAGCACGAGCGATTTGCTACTGCACTGGGCATTCCAATGTCCAATGTTTTTTCTTGAGAACTGAGACCTGACAATTTTTTGTCTGATACCTGACAACTTTTTTCTTGAGACCTGACGATGTCCTAAAATGTACACCGTACCTAGGTCACGGTTTCCTTCCACATATAGCTTTGCAAAAACTGCATAAAAAGCACTTGCAGCAACAAAAACATAATATTCCAGAAACACGCTTTGCCGATCCGATCAGCTGTTTGTAACACTTCCTACGTCCATCAGCGTGAACTATCGCATGTCCGCCATGACCTGCCCGAAACCGGAAGTGACATCATTTTGCGGAAATGTAGTTTTTTACCATCAGGGCCTTCTGAGCCTATACTGGTGTTTTTAAAAGTTATGTTTGACTTTATGACTTTCTGTGTCGTTTCTGGGATGCTTAGGACTCATATTGCACTGCTGGAAATAGTTTATTTTGATGCATATGCTGCTTTTTTGCAAATTTGCATTATAATATTTATTTTCGTTTTTCCTGCAGTATATAAAAATTGGTGTATTTCAAAAATAAAACTATGAAGACACTCAAAATAAATTTCCTGTGGTGGGAAACTATTTTGTGCAACTTTTTTGTATTTACAGTTTTGAGGGATAAGCCTCTTAAATTTCTCTAACTAGAAATATATGTTAAAAAACAAAAACAATTTTCAATTTTTTTGTAGTTTATTGCACTTTTTTGCAATTTATGTAATTACTATGCACTTAATGCAGACATATTATTAAAATTTAGGCTATAATGGTTGTATTGATGTATAGCAACTTGAAATGCTCCCAAAAATGGCTCCACAGCATGTAAAAATATAATATAAGCTCTGGCGGAATTGGTTCTATGGTAGGTCTTAAAGGGTTAATGCCATTCAGTTTGTTGCCTACTACCCAGATCTAAATGTGGCAGGAGATGAGTCAAATGGTTAGAGGAGAAAGATGTCTCCTCTTCACTGAATGAGCTGCCTTGAAGCTTAGTCATCCTTCAAATGTCACACACACGCAGGCAGGAATAAAACATGTTGTTCGTTATCATTGGCAGTGCATGTAAACATGATAATTAACACTGCAGAAATAAGTCATTAACATGACCATCATCAAAGAATCTCAAGCCATTTTCATCTACATGCAATGATGATGTCAGATGTCACGTTTTCTGATTTGCTTGAGCATGCTTTTGCATTTGCACGGAATCAAATTACTGCTGCATTTTCTTGAGTCTGCTCCTGGTGGAATCTAGTATTTTTCGTTACTATAGCTTGCATGACAGCCAGCTAATAGAGATCAAACGCAATGCAACAGTGTCTAATTCCTGTGACATACTCACTACACACTAGCCACAGGTATTTCAAGCTGGAATTAATTTTTACCATGTCAGCATTCACCTCTTACCTCTGGGATAGCTCTTTTTCCTCGGAGGCCTCCTCTACGCCTTGTTAGCCAGAAAGCTGAACGTTCTGCAGACCCTGCAACACTGTCAACCTCTTCACAGCTGTCTAAAATCCCAACAAATCACCTCAAGCATCTCCTGACACTTTGCTCTTAAATTCAACTCCTGACAAATTCCCAGCCTATTTTACTTCATGTCCCCAGAAGAATGACGGCCTGTGGTCGGAGCAGTTTCCCTGTTAACCAACTGGGGGCACTGTTGCATTTCCAAGCTTGTTTTCACATGTAGGACACTAAGGTGTTGAGGTACGGGCATACCACAAATATATCCTGTGTTATTCATGGTTTCCCCACTGTTTAGGGAGACTTTGGTCAAAGGTTTGGGCACAATTTTCTGTTCACACACTTGCCAAAGACCTTTTAAGGTGCACGTCAGCATGCCACCACACACCAGAAACACAGAGAAAAGAGGAGAGTGGGCAGGAGAGAACGAGAGAGAGTAGAATCCAGGAGCTGTGGGTGCTGCACTGTGTTGTCTCCTGAAGCAAATGAATATGACAAGTTCCTGCCGACTCAGTTTGCTGGCAAATACGAAATCATTCTTCACTAAGCCAAGACTTTGCGTTGGAGGTGCTCCTCTCCTCCCTTTGCTGAAATCACCCATAAACAAGTGGCTATCATTTTTCGCTTCTTAGGCTCCTGCCATTGTGACAGAAAGAAAGAAAATATGAAAAGAGAGCATTTTTCTCTGTGCCTCATCTCCCTACAAATGCTTAACTACAATAATCCCCTTTTCAAAAAAGATTGTTGCTACTGAATTATTTTTAAAGCAGTGTTGTTCTCCTTCCCAGCAGGTCTGCGGAGAATCAAAACCTGCAGTCAGTGAAAAATTGATTACTCAAGAGTTCTTACTTGTAGGTGATATTTTGAAAAGTCATGTTGCAGGTATGGTGCCCCTTAATAATTGTTTACTTACACGTGAAAATATAATTAGCAGCAGAAATTAATTGTTAATTTTCAGTTAATTATACAAAAATGCAAGCCTTCACTCACCAATTATTTCCTATCTATAGTGATCACTGAGTAATTGGTATTTTTGTTGCAGCCCTGAAATTTAATCAGCTGTCCGACTGTTTTTCTGGCATTTAACAAGTTCAAATTCAGTTCTGTTTTCTGACTGGGTTTGCCAGATTTGCAGACCATAACTCTTTTGTACGCACAGATAAAACCCATATGACTACACAATACAAAGAACAAAGTGCTTGACACGTACATACAAAATTTAGTAGAGTAACATCTATGTAACTGGGACCAGCCACATTTGTGTTGAATTTGTATTACAAGCCTTGCTAAACCATTTCATTTTCCTGCAGTGTTCTGACAGACAGCTAGTCCCATCAATCAGTAAATCCCATGATAGTAATTTCCTTTTTGTCTGATCAAACCTTCAAACTTGAAAGTCTCTCAGGGAGGTGTCTGGCAAGGTGATGACTGGATGAGAATGATAGTTAGAGAAAGAGCGAGAGAGAGAAAGAGAAAGAAAGAAGAAAAGCTAATTTAGAATTTACTATTGTGTAGTGCTAGCCAAAACATTAAGCAACATATGTATGTGTTTCCCCTGTATACTAATATTTGTGAGTTTAAAGTTAAAAATAAGAAAATATGGATTTAAGTATTCAAATGTTTTAAAAGTTTATCATTAGGTGTAACACACCAAGACCTTTAATTATTTAAAAGAAACAAACCCTTAACCTTCTTCATGTAATAGTAATGTCATACTTCTTAAGCAAGGTATCCAAATAAGGGCAGCAACAGAGGATGATGACACCCTTGATCCAAAAAATGCATATAAAAGAACTAAGATAGCATCTTATTTGTATATGAAGCAATGGAGCTCTAGTTGCCTGCCTGATCATGCTTCCAGGCTTTGCTCCATCTATGGTTGTCAGCTCTATTATTGCTTCTGTGACCTTTAAACTGACTGTAATTAAATTGCTAGAAAGAGACATAATCCACAATACGCAAAGTACAACATGGTTTTTGACCGATATGTATATATATTAAAAAAATGTTCTATTTTATAGGAGCATAACTGAAATACAGAGGGGGAAAAAAGGCAATTAAGATCTCCCACTGGACCTTGGCATATTGTACCTGGTATATTTTCACTATTTCTTTCTTAATCTTTCACAATATTAATACAATGAAACAATCTTTAAAAGAGTAATTGCATTAACAGTTACATTTAAACTTCAGTGAAATATGCAAAAAATGTTATAAAACAACATGCAGATGGCCTGTAAAGAAAAAAAATACCTTATGAGTCTATATCATAAAACAGACTGGAGAAACTCTGCCAACAGTATCAGCAAATAAAGATCGCATTATCCCAGAGCTTAGTCGACACCCTCGTCCTACCTCAGAGAAAAAGAAAAGAAAGGAAAAAAAACCACCCTTTCTTTCAAAAGAAAGGGAAACGTTTGCCATGCATGTTGCAGTGTCTGTCATTATGCTGGAATGGCATTTCAAGAGTCAATTTGGTGCTGGAGTTAAAGTCGAAGCTTAGATGGCAGCAGCAAAATTACACTGGCATCACTGCAAGTCATGAACTGAGCCTCTGCAGCTGCGTCCCAAATCTCCCTAGCAACCACAGATGGTATTGTCATGAAGGTCCACAAGCTGTGGACAAATAAAGGTTTAACACATAACAGCTAGGAAAGAAAATGAGACTTAACTGCAAAGCATATTTGGTGATGTGGGTGAAATTGTTTGGATATGGCTGCTGGCATGGGTTGTGACATTATTGTAGTTTCTTGGCCTTCAACCTCTATGTCTTAACTACAGCACTGAGAGCGGCAGGACCCATTTCATTTAAAGAGATCTGAACCTATCATCATTACTTAACCTTCCCGTTTCCAGATTTTTTAACCCTCGTGGTCAATTAACATTAGTTATTCATAGTTTTCTCATCACATAAACTCAAAACAACTTAAAATCACTTAAAAATACACCTTTTAGAGGGACCTGATAGCTGAGTGGTTAGGGCACATACCTTACGGTTCACACCGAACGCGATAGACGCGACCAAAGCGTCAGGCCCTGAGCAGAGTCCCAGGTCCTATATAAACCACCAAGACAACAGAATTAGATAGAATCCCTTTATTTGTCACTGTAGAGGTGTACAGCAAAATTTGGACCGTCTCCCTGAAACATACATACAACCAGTTCCTCTTGTTTTTATTCTGTACTTGCAAGTGTTAATGCTGCTGTGTCTGTGCATGTGGCCAACTAAAACTATATGCCTTTCCCCAGTAACTAAGGGTGTAAGACCTACAAAGGAGAGACACCCACAGAAAGCCTATTATCACTTTATCCTGCAAAGAAAAACACCATTAGAAGTTGTGCAATAATAACAAAAAAGAACAACACTTCTAGAGGTCTCGCTGCATATTATTTGTTGAGTTTTGAAAATAAAACACCTCTTATGCCTAGAGAGAAATGTTTAATGATGTTGCATAATGGTAATATTGCAACAATAGAACAAGTTTCATTGTAGTTTTTGTTCATTAAGAAATGTCTTAAATTCTACCCGACATTGCAAGAGCTACTTTTCCACCACCGAAGAGCTGAGGATCTTTTCTATTGCTTCTGAAACTCGGTGTTCCTACTAAATGGCAGC